ACACACCTCTACTTGAGTAAAAATAAGTGAAATAGATGCAATGCGCAATAATAGGTATCTATGCTCACAATTAAATCACCTATATTTTTAAAGTGCGAACGTGACACATGTTATTACTTTCACTCGTACACCCATCGTATGGATGAAATGCTTGAGTCATGTGAGATGGGAGAACTAAGCAAATATGAGGCTACTCAAGTTTCTTAAGGCTCGGAGGCATTTCATGCTCATTCCTATCCTAGTACTAGCCCACAGGCACAAGTGATTTCCAATCAATTTCAAACACTCTTTTTTTCTATAGAAGGCGATAGCCTCTTGGGCTTACTTGTATTTCCTGCTAAGCGTTTCGCTTTGAATCAAGCTTGAATTATCATTTCGAGGGAAATGTTGATTGTTAGGAATTCGTGAATCTGCATTACCGTAAAGAGAAGAATTGTCTTATAATGAAAACTTATCCATGTAAATAAAAAATTGAGTAGCTCCAAATCATTAAAGGATTCTTCAAAACTCAGCTTTTCTTTATTTATACGAGTCCAACCAGTATCCTATGCAAATCATGTGTTGGGCCAAGTCTGAATATTGGACTTACAGACTTTTTGAAGCTTGTTTATGTTCAGATAACTTCTTATGTACTGACCAGAAGGTCACCCCACAAACACAACCGTGTAATAACCCAATCTAGACCGAAGGTCTGAAAATTGGCAAAGAAAATAGAATTACCAAGAAAATTGTTATTTTATACTATATTTTCTGATGTCCTATTTCCGAATTACCACCCCATTTAGCCGTAGGTCTACTAATTAAGTAAAAGCATTTCATGCATAACTGCTTATCTGCCTTGTATTCGTTGTATAGTCTCATCGCTTTAATGCAAAGGCCTTTAAACTCTTGTGCTTTTCTATAGAGATACCATAATTAGTAGTCTCAGGTTAAGTTTAAAATGAATAGTCCTCAATCACTAGTAAATGAACAAAGGAGACCGAGTCACTTTTGTGTTCAGCCAACCTAAGTAGAATTCAACATAAAGGCGGCCACAAAAACACATAATGAGTCGTGTAGCTGTGGCGCCCGGTCTAAAATTCTGAAGATTCTGAATGTAATTACTATGAAATTGTATTTTTATTGCGAAAAGAAATTTTATGCGGAACAAAGAATACTGTATTTGAAGAAGTCAAAGCTCAATGTAATGGTTAAGATAGATGAATAAAAATTATACCTGGCGATCGAATGTCGGGAGGGAATGGAATCAAGAAAGATGGCGTGTGTGATGTCGACTCAAGTCCTTCTTTAAGGAAGACCATGACATCGACCTGATCGCGAGAGTGCTTTGAAAAATATTCAGTGTCCTCTCTATTAAGTTCCTCTGCCCATTCTGTAACATAAGAAAGTGAAACTTTTGTGAGGCGAAGCTTGCTCAAATATAATACAGCGATTGCGAATGCTCATCGAAACGATAATTTGATTAAAGAAAATGGTTTTAAAAAGAAATTAAAAATAGTCAAGTATAAAATTCTAAGTGATAAACATGGTAACGATATGGAGTAAGATGAATATAATTTAAAATTTTTTAAAATCGATATTACTAGGTTTTGATACAATCAGTAATTCTTTACCAAAAACTTAATCATCCTCGTGAATTAAAGACTGATAAGGTATGAAGACCAAGATGGTGTGGCCTTTTGTGTGGTCGCAGTTTACTTTCGTTAAATAGAGC